AAGAAAAAGAGAGTGGGTTATTCTGTGACGTCATTTAACAAGACGTATATTTATATATCTCATCTCCTTTTAAACAACAGTTTAGTGTTTAAACTTAATACAAAAGTGTTCACTAGGACTGAATATAATTTCCAAGACCAAGAATATATAGCTTAACTCCCTATTCCTTAATCATACCTAGAACTACCAAATACTTTAGGACGGCTCCCCTAGGGGCGTCGTCACGTATGCCATGACAGAATCATAACAAAACAACACGCTGTAGAGGTGGCTCGGGGTTGCGTGGTGACCGCCGGCCAGGTCGGACGTTCTTGAGGTTTCTCCGCTCCTGGCTAGTGTTTACGTTGGGTGATTGCTTGTTTGCCCTGCTAGTGGTGGTTTGCCACTGACAGGGTGACGTTCGACTTAGCCATGGGGACGTCTCGCCCTCCAATGAAGAGAACGTTGTCGGCTGGTCTCGCGTTTACGGTGCCGGTGGACCATCCGTTGGTTGGTGTCGCCCTGGTGGACGTGCTACATGTACAGCTGTCTGACCTGGTGGGCATCCAGCTGCTTCAGGGCCACCGTGCTGTGGTCAAGTTCCGCCTCCAGGCTGCCTTTCAGGCGTTTCTCGAGCGGTGTGAGGGGCGTGTTTACCCTCTCCCTGATAATGCTGGCTCCGTTAAGGTGGTAAATCTTAGTGTCACCTTGACGTCTGTGGCGGTGCATGGTGCCCCCTTCGAATTTCAGGACGACTTTTTAACCTCCTGTTTTGAATGATTTGGGACAGTGTTAATAAGTGTTCGTTGGAACAAGGTCGTTGCCGGGCACTGTGTTGGTATGCTTGACGGCTCCCGCACCCTGACGATGTCGCTGAAGTGTAGTGTACCGTCGTCGATGTCCATGTTGGGTTACACGCTCCGCTGCTTGTACCGGGGTCAACCGCGCACCTGTTATCGGTGTGGTCACGAGGGTCATCTCGCTGCGGCGTGCGACGTGGGAGCAACTGGTCGGGTGCATGTTCTTCGTGCGGAGGATTTTCCGCCCCTGTTGCGTTCGGACGGTTCTGAGGACGGAGTGGGTGCTGTGCCTGAGGCGCCTGATTGCCTGTCTGCTGCTCCGCCTGTTGAGGCGAGTTCTACGGCGACACGTCAGGTGACTGCTGTGGCCCCTGGGGTTGTTGAACCGGTGTTGTGTGGGTGTCGGGCCGTCGCCTGCGCTGCGTGTTGTGAAGGGTGTCCTGGTAGAGGTCCCTGTCCCGCCCCCGCCTGCGCTGCGTGTTGTGAAGGGTGTCCCGGTAGAGGTCCCTGTCCCGCCCCCGCCTGTGGATGTGATACCGGCTCCCGGGGACGCGGGTTCTGCTGTTTTGGAGGGGGTGCTTTGGCATGGTGAGGTGCCTGCCGTGCCTGTGTGTGTTGACAATTGTAGTTCTGCTCTTTCCATCCCTTTGCAGAAGCGTGCGCGTCGGTGCTCTGAGGCTGTTTCCCTGGATGATGTAGACAGTGTGGGTGATGTGGCCTCTGTGGACTCTTCGGACGGTGCGGGAGTGGCCTGTGTGGATATGACGATGGTGGCTGTGCCTGCAGCGGGGCCTGCTGGGCGTGGTGTGGTGCGGCCTGTCTCGAAGCGTTCGTGGCGGGCTCGGAGTGTGTCTCCCCTTCTTGGTGTGCCTTGGGAGGAGGTGGGGGAGTATGATACTCTGGCGTCCCCTGCCGTGGATGATGGTGCTGTGAGGGGCTCCGAAGTTGCTACCTGTGCCTCTCCTCCTGCGTCTCCTGCTGTTGGATCTCCACAATGGGGGGTTGTCCCTGATGATCGGGACCTCGTCGTAATGGCTTGTTGGGCTGTGTTGGGTGCAGACGTGTCGTTCGTAGCGCTCGCCAGTTCCACCCTAGTGGCTGTGTGAGGAGGGTGTCCATGACGGCTGTGGGGGTGTTGTCCCCCGTGTGGGCGTGGTGCGCCTGTTGAGGAGACATGGGGACTTACCGGCCTCCATTGAAGAGGACCTCGTCGGCTGGTCTGGCTTTTACGGTGCCAGTGGACCACTTGTTGGTTGGTGTTGCCCTGGTGGATGTTCTACATGTGCAGTTGTCGGAATTGGTGGGCATCCAGCTGCTGCAGGGGAACCGCGCCGTGGTCAAGTTTCGCCATCAGGCGTTTCTGGGGCGGTGTGAGGGGCATGTTTACCCTTTCCCTGATGCCGCCGATTCTGTTAAGATAGTGAACCTCAGCGTCGCCTTGACGTATGTGTTGGTGCGTGGTGCCCCCTTCGAGTTTAACGACGATCTCCTAACTGCTGTGTTTGGACGGTTTGGTACTGTGCTAAGCATTCGTTGGAACAAGGTACTTGCAGGGCACTGTGCTGGGATGCTTGACGGCTCCCGCACCCTGACCATGTCACTGAAGAGTAGTGTTCCGTCCTCTGTGTCCGTGTTGGGTTACACGCTCCGCTGCCTGTATCGGGGGCACCCGCGCACCTGTTACAGGTGTGGTAATGTGGGTCATCTCACTGCAGCGTGCGACGTGGGAGCAACTGGCAGGTGCATGTTTTTCGTGAGGAGGACTTTCCACCCCTGTTGACTTCGGACGCTTCTGAGGATGGAGTGAGTGCTGTGCCTGAGGCGCCTGATTGCCTGTCTGCTGCTCTGCCTGTTGAGGCGGATACTATGAATTCTGTGTCCAGTCTGTTACCTGCTGTGCCCCGGAGGTAGTTGTTGTGTCGGAGTGTATGAGTGTCGGGCCGTCGCCCGCACTGCGTGTGGTGGATGTCCCAGTAGAGGTCTATGTCCCACCCCCGCCTGTGGCTCCCGGTGACGCGGGTTCTGCTGTTTTGGAGGGGGAGGGGCTTCGGCAGGAGGTGATACCTGCCATGTCTGTGTGTGTTGGCGAATGTAATTCTGCTCTTTCCATCCCTTTGCAGAAGTGTGCACGTCGGTGTTCTGAGGCTGTTTCCCTGGACGATGTGGACAGTGTGGGTGATGTTGCCTCTGTGGACTCTTCGGACGGTGCGGATGTGAAAATGGTGGCTGTGCCTGCTGAGGGGCCTGCTGGGAGTGGTGTGGTGCGGCGGGCTCGGAGTGTGTCTCCCCTTCGTGGTGTGCCTTGGGAGATGGTGGGGGAGTATGGTGCTCTGACGTCCCCCGCCGTGGATGATGATGCTGTGAGGGGCTCCGAAGTTGCTACCTGTGTCCACCCCTCCTGAGTCACCTGCTGTTGGATCTCCACAGTGGGGGGTTGCCCCTGATGATCGGGACCTCGTCGTGGTGTTGCGGAAAGATGTGCGCTGGGGGGCCTCGGCTCCTGTGCCCTGTGGTGGGGTCGATGCCGCGCCTGCATCCCCTGCGGTTCCCCCTCCTTCATTGCTCCAGTCTGGGGGAAGCTTAGTCCCAACTGCTGGGGTTGTGCCCTGTGAGGGTCCGGTGTTGGGCCCTTATCGGGATGCTCGGGGTGCTTCCAATCCCGTGGTGCTCGTCCACTGTCTGGGTATAGCGGATGAAGGAGTTTGTGTATAGGGTGCCGGGTAAGATGTCTTAGCCGAGGCCACCGCCTGGTGGCCAGGTGCCCAATGACACGTGGGTGATTTGGGAAGCGTACTGCTTGCACTTTCCATTATACTAGTTCCTGGAGAAATATTAGTTACCGTCTTGCGTACAACGCTACGCCGTGTGTGGATCAGCTGCTGCCGTGAACTCGTCACCCCGCCCTATGGTGCGGGGAGTCTCCCTCTAACGTCCGCCTCTGTTTTCGTCGCCACTCCTCTCTCTACGGCCCAACACTTCTAACACTTTTGACTTTCTTCTCCTCCTCAACGTCAACGCGTCTCCCTACATTTGTCCTGGTGCAGCCATCGGGAGGGTAAACCCTTCATGCAAACTGCACCTGTTCTCGAGAAGAAGAAGAGGTATAATGTGGGATTAAAATCCCTAACACGTACGTACTCTACATTATACATCCCTCTTATTAGAAGTCATACCTGTACCTTAATATGTCAATGTGCTATTACTAATGTTAAACATCCCAAACAGGTAATTGTCAGGGAAGTTACTGAAGCAAACAGTTGGCCCCCAATGTAACAGTGATTTACCCTGTTGTACACCAACCTTGCAGGCCTCCAGATAGTCGCCGTTACGTGGCACTCTGAGGCACAGGGCCACACCCTAATCTGATGCTACAATTACCTTGTAGTTGCTACAATGCTACAATTAGTTGTGGCCTTAGCAGGCCACAACTACAGTATCAGATAAGGCCCTTTTGTGTTTAATACTGTAGATAGAGTGGTATATATAATTAACTTTAAGTATAACAGCAGATTAGACCACCATATGGGGTATGATTTATAATTTATCTATTACAGACTAGGTAAACAATTTGTGGTTTATGAAGGATCCATTTCAAAGTGGTTTAAGCTACAAATTGCTCCCCCCCCCCAACTGGGTGTGATAAGTTCTAGCAGCAGAATCAGAATACAGTCCAGTAACTAAGAACTAATTAAGAACAATAATTCAATATTGAAGTTTAACTAAAAAATAATCAAATAATAACAATATAATATTCAAGTAACATAACAAAAATTAAAGTAATTTTTAATATTAAAAAAAAAGGAATAAAAACTGCTAGGATTTTCCCACATAAGTTATGTCAATTCCCTAACCCCTTGGACAGACTACATTTCTCCTCAACCACAACAATAGTTAGGGAAAGTAAACCCATTATATAATTGTATTCATTTATTAAACAGTTAGGTAATTTTTCATATACCATTAGCTAGCCAAAACATATAACAGTACCATTTCGTTCTCAGTTTTACACCATAGGAGGTCTTTTTAGTGTAAAAAATACTTCAACCATCCAATATCTATATTGGGAAAAGGCAAAACATAACATGGATATTGTATTTAGTTTTTAAAAAGGACTGAATAAGAGGGAGTCATGTTCCATAACAATACTTTACAGCATCCAATATCTATGAGCAGTAAGAGAGAGAGAGAGAGAGAGAGAGAGAAGACAAAATATATAGATAGAGAGAGAAAGGCAGGGACATATATATAGACTGGCAACGGTACCCATTCAAGCTTTTTATAAAATATTCTGCTTGAAGTACTGAGCGCCAAATTGTTATTACCTTTAACAAAAAATGATTGTACAAGTATATTGTGTGTCCTTTATATTCGTGACTTCTCCATCAAAAAGTTGGCAATATTTGAGTTATGCCACGAAAACGATCCAAACATTTAGTATATAATATTCAACTTTACTGATTATCCTCGGTCCTACAGTAATGACAGATTCCAATAGATTAAAACATTCCTATTCCTTCTTCATTTTGTTAATGCCACTACCAAGTGCTTTAGCAGCGATGACCCTGAAGATGCGACGTAGGATGAAGACGAGAAGGAAGAGAGCCAGGTGGAGGAGGAGCAGGACGTCGAGCATGAGGAACTCCACCCAGGAGAGCTGAGCAGCCGGGGACCTGAGCTGGGGCGCCCCACGGTGGCGGATGACGTACTCCGTCCAGAACACTGCCAGGTCCCTGGGCGACGTCGGCTGGTCCCTCATCTCCGCTGATTTCCTCATCACGTTTTCTTTATACCTGACCACAACAGAAGGAAGAAGGTAAATTATTAATTATAATTATAACTAATACTATACGTGTATTTGTGTGCTTACCCATTTGTGCCTGCCGTCTCTCAATACTTTCAAAACTTCTGTGAAAAGAGTTTGTCGTCTGCCTCCCAGTTTAGGAGGTTCAGCAAATTATTCGATGACATTAGCAACATTCTGGTTATAACGAGAGTCAACATGAAATAATCTATGGAAATAGTGAACATTACAGAGATTATGACAACATCACATCCTAAGAGTTCTTTTCTTAGGGCACTTTACCCACATCAATGCTGTCGAGGCCATGATATATCTAGAATGTTTGTAGCATTTTTTTCGAAGTATCCATAAAGTTCTCTATAACATTGTAGCAGAATATTATTATTTGAATTTTGGAGGGACTGGTCTTGAGAAGACTTTGAAGCAGTGGGAGGATAGTTTGTTTTATACGACTATGACCAAATTATGGATAGCAGGAAATTTTTGTTAATTTTCCCAAGATCAGTGAATAAGGGTGAACATTATTAAATAATTTTTGTATTGTTTGTTTTAAAAATATTTAGCAGTGTACTCACCTAGCTATGCTTGCACGGGTTGACCTCTGGCTCTTTGGTCCCGACTCTTAACTGTCAATCAACGGGTGTACAGATTCCTGAGCCTACTGGGCTCTATCGTATCTACATTTCAAACTGTGTATGGAGTCAGCCTCCACCACATCACTGAGTAATGCATTCCATCTGTTAACTACTCTGACACTGAAAAAGTTCTTTATAACGTCCCTGTGGCTCATGTGGGTACTCAGTCTCCACCTGTGTCCCCGTGTTCCCGTACCACCCGTGTTAAACAATTAATCTTTATCTACTCTGTCAATTCCTCTGAGAATTTTGTAGGTATATCTTGAGGTTATCTTGAGATGATTTCGGGGCTTTAGTGTCCCCGCGGCCCGGTCCTCGACCAGGCCTCCACCCCCAGGAAGCAGCCCGTGACAGCTGACTAACACCCAGGTACCTATTTACTGCTAGGTAACAGAGGCATAGGGTGAAAGAAACTCTGCCCATTGTTTCTCGCCGGCGCCTGGGATCGAACCCAGGACCACAGGATCACAAGTCCAGCGTGCTGTCCGCTCGGCCGACCGGCTCCCGATCATGTCCCGAGGTAGTGATCATGTCTCCCCGAGTTCTCCTGTCTTCCAGCAACGAGAGGGGTATTTCACGCAGCCTTTCTTCGTAACTCATGCCTCTTAGTTCTGGGACTAGTCTAGTGGTATAACTCTGAACCTTTTCCAGCTTCGTCTTGTGCTTGTCAAGATACGAGCTCCAAGCAGGGTCCGCATACTCCAGGATTGGTCTTACATATGTGATATACAAGGTTCTGAATGATTCCTAACACAGGTTCCTGTGTAGCCAACAGGAAGTGCCAAGAGCGGGGTCTTATTGTGACCGTGACACTATCTTTCCAGTCCTTCACCACTTACCCGACCACTCACCATCTCATGTACATTCTGTCTCGACCTATTTCCTCATCTTTACTACCAACCCTATCCTAAACCACCCTTCCTACTCTTCACCACCTTCCTTACACTTAACCATCTTCCCTACCTATCCCCTTCCCTACCCATCACCTTCCCTATCAATCATTACTTTCCTTACCATTCATCACCTTCCCTACCATTCATCACCTTCCCTACCATTCATCACCTTCCCTACCAATCATCACCTTCCCTACCAATCATCACCTTCCCTACCATTCATCACCTTCCCTACCATTCATCACCTTCCCTACCCACCTTCCCTACCATTCATCACCTTCCCTACCATTCATCACCTTCCCTACCATTCATCACCTCACCATTCATCACCTACCATTCATCACCTTCCCTACCATTCATCACCTTCCCTACCATTCATCACCTTCCCTACCAATCATCACCTTCCCTACCAATCATCACCTTCCCTACCAATCATCACCTTCCCTACCATTCATCACCTTCCCTACCATTCATCACCTTCCCTACCATTCATCACCTTCCCTACCATATCACCTTCCCTACCATTCACCTTCCCTACCAATCATCACCTTCCCTACCAATCATCACCTTCCCTACCATATCACCTTCCCTACCAATCATCACCTTCCCTACCATTCATCACCTTCCCTACCATTCATCACCTTCCCTACCATTCATCACCTTCCCTACCATTCATCACCTTCCCTACCAATCATCACCTTCCCTACCAATCATCACCTTCCACACCATTCCCTCACCTTCCCTACCAATTCATCACCTTCCCTACCAATTCATCACCTTCCCTACCATTCATCACCTTCCCTACCAATCATCACCTTCCCTACCAATCATCACCTTCCCTACCAATCATCACCTTCCAAACCAATCATCACCTTCCCTACCAATCATCACCTTCCCTACCAATCATCACCTTCCCTACCAATCATCACCTTCCACTACCAATCATCACCTTCCACACCATTCATCACCTTCCACACCATTCATCACCTTCCCTACCAATCATCACCTTCCCTACCAATCATCACCTTCCCTACCAATCATCACCTTCCACACCATTCATCACCTTCCACACCATTCATCACCTTCCACACCATTCATCACCTTCCCTACCAATCATCACCTTCCCTACCAATCATCACCTTCCCTACCAATCATCACCTTCCACACCATCATCACCTCCACACTTCCACCACCATTCATCACCTTCCACACCATTCATCACCTTCCCTACCAATCATCACCTTCCCTACCAATCATCACCTTCCACACCATTCATCACCTTCCACACCATTCATCACCTTCCACCTTCCACACCATTCATCACCTTCCACCTTCCACCAATCATCACCACACTTCCCTTCCACACCATTCATCACCTTCCCTACCATTCATCACCTTCACACCATCATCACCTTCCACACCATTCATCACCTTCCCTACCAATCATCACCTTCACACCATTCATCACCTTCCACACCATTCATCACCTTCCATTCATCACCTTCCACCACCATTCATCACCTTCCACACCATTCATCACCTTCCCTACCAATCATCACCTTCCACACCATTCATTCCACACCATTTCACCTTCCACACCATTCATCACCTTCCACACCATTCATCACCTTCCCTACCAATCATCACCTTCCCTACCAATCATCACCTTCCACACCATTCATCACCTTCCACACCATTCACCTTCATCACCTTCCACACCATTCATCACCTTCCACCTTCCACACCATTCATCACCACATCATCACCTTCCACTACCAATCATCACCTTCCACACCATTCATCACCTTCCACCAATCATCACCTTCCCTACCAATCATCACCTTCCCTACACCATTCATCACCTTCCACACCATTCATCACCTTCCACACCATTCATCACCTTCCACACCATTCATCACCTTCCACACCAATCATCATCACCTTCCACACCATTCATCATCACCTTCCACACCATTCATCACCAATCATCACCTTCCCTACCAATCATCACCTTCCACACCATTCATCACCTTCCACACCATTCATCACCTTCCACACCATTCATCACCTTCCCTACCAATCATCACCTTCCCTACCAATCATCACCTTCCACACCATTCATCACCTTCCACACCATTCATCACCTTCCACACCATTCATCACCTTCCCTACCAATCATCACCTTCCACACCATTCATCACCTTCCACACCATTCATCACCTTCACCTTCCACACCATTCATCACCTTCCACACCATTCATCACCTTCCCTACCAATCATCACCTTCCACACCATTCATCACCTTCCACACCATTCATCACCTTCCCTACCAATCATCACCTTCCCTACCAATCATCACCTTCCCTACCACTTCCACCTTCCCTACCATTCATCACCTTCCACCTTCCCTACCAATCATCACCTTCCACTTCTACCAATTCATCACCTTCCCTACCAATCATCACCTTCCACTACCTTCCACCTTCCATACCATTCACCATTCATCACCTTCCCTACCAATTCATCACCTTCCCTACCAATCATCACCTTCCCTACCATCATCACCTTCCCTACCAATCATCACCTTCCACACCAATCATCACCTTCCCTACCAATCATCACCTTCCACCACATCACCTTCATCATCACCTTCCCTACCAATCATCACCTTCCCTACCAATCATCACCTTCCCTACCAATCATCACCTTCCCTACCAATCATCACCTTCCCTACCAATCATCACCTTCACCAATCATCACCTTCCCTACCAATCATCACCTTCCCCAATATCACCTTCCCTACCATCATCACCTTCCCTACCAATCATCACCTTCCCTTCCAATCATCACCTTCCCTACCAATCATCACCTTCCACACCCTTCCAATCATCACCTTCCCTACCAATCATCACCTTCCACACCAATCATCACCTTCCCTACCAATCCCTACCAATCATCACCTTCCACACCAATCATCACCTTCCCTACCAATCATCACCTTCCCTACCAATCATCATCATCACCTTCCCTACCAATCATCACCTTCCATCACCTTCCCTACCAATCATCACCTTCCCTACCAATCATCACCTTCCCTATCACCATCATCACCTTCCCCAATCACCTCATCCCTTCCCTACCAATCATCACCTTCCCTACCAATCATCACCTTCCCTACCAATCATCACCTTCCCTACCAATCATCATCACCTTCCCTTCCCTACCAATCATCACCTTCCCTACCAATCATCACCTTCCCTACCAATCATCACCTTCCCTACCAATCATCACCTTCCCTACCAATCATCACCTTCCCTACCAATCATCACCTTCCCTACCAATCATCACCTTCCCTACCAATCATCACCTTCCACACCAATCATCACCTTCCCTACCAATCATCACCTTCCACACCAATCATCACCTTCCACACCAATCATCACCTTCCCTACCAATCATCACCTTCCCTACCAATCATCACCTTCCCTACCAATCATCACCTTCCCTACCAATCATCACCTTCCCTACCAATCATCACCTTCCCTACCAATCATCACCTTCCCTACCAATCATCACCTTCCCTACCAATCATCACCTTCCCTACCAATCATCACCTTCCCTACCAATCATCACCTTCCCTACCAATCATCACCTTCCCTACCAATCATCACCTTCCACACCATTCATCACCTTCCCTACCAATCATCACCTTCCCTACCAATCATCACCTTCCCTACCAATCATCACCTTCCACACCATTCATCACCTTCCCTACCAATCATCACCTTCCCTACCAATCATCACCTTCCCTACCAATCATCACCTTCCCTACCAATCATCACCTTCCACACCATTCATTCACCTTCCCTACCACCTTCCCTACCATCATCACCTTCCCTACCAATCATCACCTTCCCTACCAATCATCACCTTCCCTACCAATCATCACCTTCCCTACCAATCATCACCTTCCCTACCAATCATCACCTTCCCTACCATTCATCACCTTCCCTACCATTCATCACCTTCTGTGAGGAAAATGACTCCTGGGAATTAAATTTATTTACTTTATATGATTTTAAAATTCCCACGAATTGCCTTTTTACACATTCTAGGGCGGGGGGGGGGCGGATATTATGGTATATATATATATATATATATATATATATATATATATATATATATATATATATATATATATATATATATATATATATATATATAAATAGTCTATCAACATAAAATATTGATCAGTAGACATTCACTACAGTATAAGACTAAATATGTTAGTAATTAAATTTAACAGCTTATCTGTATTGTAGTGGGCCATCCAGTTATGAACATGGATGATTACATCCAATAATCGTGGTGGATGAGGCTAGTATAACAATATGTTCCTGGGGTACCAGAGAGATGTCATTCTCATTCATCTCCCCCTTCAATTACACCTGTCAGAGGCACTCACAATATTATAGTAGTAACCTAAATATGACAGCTATATCAGGGGAAATTTTATAATGATTTATTAGATGAGGTTTAATTAATAATTACCTCGTTTGTTTTATTTGGTAGCGTCCTAACCGGTTTGTCTTAGTATACCCACATTTCACTGATCAGGAATGCAAGATAAAAGGTTTCGGAATTAGGACACTTCCCTTGACTGTTGACGATGAACCGTGCCGATGATGGGAGCACTTTACAACCCGTAACTCTTGTGTCAAAAGGAAAATTTGTGGAGCATCTTGGAGCTCCAACGAAACGTGTCGTGTTAAAATTATAATGGTGGCTACTACTGGCCCTCCTCCCACTGACGCCTCGGCTGACTTGTCCAGATGTCGTCCAGAAGTGGAAAGTGGGCCTACATTTACTCTATTTTAGTACTGATAATTAAATTGGTTCAAGGAAAATATTGTTATGATGTTTACAGTCGAAGGGCTGCTGTATTACGAATGATTCCCAATATTAGGTGGTGAATTTAATGGTGACATATGTCAATGATATCCCTGTTTACTTTTGAGGAACATTCCACTGTGCCTCATTTTCTATGAGTTAATTTGTTATTACAATCCAGCAGCAATATTATCTACCTATTGTATTGAATGTTAGTAAATGGTGTCGGATTTTCCGACACCTTCCATACCATTCATCACCTTCCCTATCGTTCACTAACTTCCCTAAGCTCCATGATTTCCTACCTTTTACCTACTTCCTAACCGTTCAACACCTCTGTTCTTCAACACCGACCCTATGTTCTCCAACACCTTCTCTGTTCTTCAACACCTTCTCTGTTCTTCACCAATTTCCTTACATCCATGTAACCATTTTCACTTAACACTATTTGCCAATAAATAAACTACAAAGATGAAACTTACATATAATCATCACATAGAAAATAATATGCTAGACGAATTTTAGTAAGAATAAAGTATGGTATATAGCAAAATCGGAAACTAATGTAAATGACCTTCCCATGAAAAATAGGCGAAGAGGGAATGGGGCTCGACCCGGCCCCACAATATATATGTTTTCCATTAGGAAATATCACTGCACAAACCCTTACTTGGGGTCGCTGGTGAGTTGGACGAGAGTTTCGACAATCGCATCTGCAGTCAGTTCCTCCCACATCAGGAGATCTCCCAGTTCCGATTCCTTCACAAACCTGGCGTTCCTGGGCTGGTCTGCGAAGATGGGGAGGACGAGGAGGGGCGTGGCGTGATAGAGGGCCTCCTGCAGGCTAAGGAGGCCTCCGTGCGTGATGAACACCTTCACGTTGTGGTGGGCTGCAGTACATAAGGTGATAAACCTCAAGGAGTTCAACACATGATGAATAATGTAACATATTACCACGAATGAAAATTGGAACATGAAGATGCGCTGTTGAAATAGACACGAGAGCGCTAGGTATTTCATGTTAGTAGGGAAATATATGATGTAGACCAGGCGTGGCACCTGTGGAACACAGGTGGTAGCTGCGCCAACTGGTCCACCGGAAGTTCCGCAGGTGTCGCGCCAGGTCTTCAGAGCATGCGGATTGGCTCCCAGCACGTGTGTTAGGTTAGGAGTGTCAAGGTGTGAGCATGTGGACAGATGTGTAGATGGTGTGGGTGGGAGTAGCAGGTGTTTGACGTGCGCCCGCCACCATCTGAGCGTATGGGCGACCTTCTTGCCCACAAGGCTTGGCTCAGAGTGCGTGGGAGCCCTTTTTCCTCGCATGTCTAGCATAGAATGCCCTAAGAGATCAGATGCGGCATGTGTTAGGTTAGGGTTGTGAAGGGTCTCTCCTTCACCGACGTGTTAGGTTAGGGTTGTGAAGGGTCTCTCCTTCACCGACGTGTTAGGTTAGGGTTGTGAAGGGTCTCTCCTTCACCGACGTGTTAGGTTAGGGTTGTGAAGGGTCTCTCCTTCACCGACGTGTTAGGTTAGGGTTGTGAAGGGTCTCTCCTTCACCGACGTGTTAGGTTAGGGTTGTCAAGGGTCTCTCCTTCACCGACGTGTTAGGTTAGGGTTGTCAAGGGTCTCTCCTTCACCGACGTGTTAGGTTAGGGTTGTCAAGGGTCTCTCCTTCACCGACGTGTTAGGTTAGGGTTGTCAAGGGTCTCTCCTTCACCGACGTGTTAGGTTAGGGTTGTGAAGGGTCTCTCCTTCACCGACGTGTTAGGTTAGGGTTGTCAAGGGTCTCTCCTTCACCGACGTGTTAGGTTAGGGTTGTCAAGGGTCTCTCCTTCACCGACGACCGTGTATGTATTCACCTACGTGTACTCACCTAGTTGTGTCTGCAGGATCGAGCATTGACTCTTGGATCCCGCCTTTCTAGCCATCGGTTGTTTACAGCAATGACTCCTGTCCTATTTCTCTGTCATATCTAGTTTTATAGTTATGAATAGTGTTTGCTTCCACAACCTGCTCCTTAAGTGCATTCCATTTTCCACTACTTTCATGCTAAAAGTAAACTTCCTAACATCTCTGTGACTCATCTGAGTTTTCAGCTTTCATCCATGTCCCCTCGTTCTGTTCGTTCTGTTAATATTACATATGAACATTTCATCTATTTCCGCTCTGTCAGTCCAGAACTGACGGAGTGGAAATATATTTCTGGACTTTTTCGGCAGTCCACAAATATGCAGTCTGCCCATCTTTCTATGTCCTGCCTTATCCTTGTTATTGTATTATAGAATTCCAAAACGTTTGTTAGGCACGATTTCCCTTACCAGAACCCCTGAGTATTTTATATGTTCCTATCATATCCCTCCCCTCTCCCTTCTTTTTTCTAGTGTCGTGAGGTTTAGTTCCTTCAGGCACTCTTCATATCCCATCCCTCGTAACTCTGGGACAAGCCTCGTCACAAACTTCTGAACCTTTTCCAAATTCCTTATGTGTTTCTTCAGGTAGGGACTCCATGATGGCACAGCATACTCTAAGACTGGTCTCACGTAGGCAGTGTAAAGCACCCTAAAAGCCTCCTCACTTAGGTTTCTGAATGATGTTCTAACTTTTGCCAGTGTTGAGTACGCTGCTGTCGTTATCCTATTTATATGCTAGGTCTGCCTGTAGTAACTTAATCTAGGTATGTCTGTAGCAACTTAATCTAGGTCTGTCTGTAGTAACTTAATCTAGGTCTGCCTGTAGTAACTTAATCTAGGTCTGCCTGTAGTAACTTAATCTAGGTATGTCTGTAGCAACTTAATCTAGGTCTGTCTGTAGTAACTTAATCTAGGTATGTCTGTAGCAACTTAATCTAGGTCTGTCTGTAGTAACTTAATCTAGGTCTGCCTGTAGTAACTTAATCTAGGTCTGCCTGTAGTAACTTAATCTAGGTATGTCTGTAGCAACTTAATCTAGGTCTGTCTGTAGTAACTTAATCTAGGTATGTCTGTAGCAACTTACTCTAGGTCTGTCTGTAGTAACTTAATCTAGGTCTGCCTGTAGTAACTTAATCTAGGTCTGCCTGTAGTAACTTAATCTAGGTCTGCCTGTAGTAACTTAATCTAGGTCTGCCTGTAGTAACTTAATCTAGGTCTGCCTGTAGTAACTTAATCTAGGTCTGCCTGTAGTAACTTAATCTAGGTATGTCTGTAGCAACTTAATCTAGGTCTGTCTGTAGTAACTTAATCTAGGTCTGCCTGTAGTAACTTAATCTAGGTCTGCCTGTAGTAACTTAATCTAGGTCTGCCTGTAGTAATTAAATCTAGGTCTGTCTGTAGTAACTTAATCTAGGTCTGCCTGTAGTAACTTAATCTAGGTCTGCCTGTAGTAACTTAATCTAGGTCTGCCTGTAGTAACTTAATCTAGGTATGCCTGTAGTAACTTAATCTAGGTCTGCCTGTAGTAACTTAATCTAGGTCTGCCTGTAGTAACTTAATCTAGGTCTGCCTGTAGTAACTTAATCTAGGTATGTCTGTAGCAACTTAATCTAGGTCTGCCTGTAGTAACTTAATCTAGGTATGTCTGTAGCAACTTAATCTAGGTCTGCCTGTAGTAACTTAATCTAGGTCTGCCTGTAGTAACTTAATCTAGGTCTGTCTGTAGTAACTTCTCGCAGTTAGATAAACTATTGCTTAATGGAAGAAGCGTAAATGAGAGATGAACTAGTAAGCATACTTGATAACTAAATAAAAACATGAAGATGAGCTGGTTATACTCACTGGTTATTAATGAGTTTTTACATAAAATAGTTTACAATGTAAGATTGTATAAAGACTATTGTGTGGGTGGAGGCAGTGTGGGAGAGGTTGTGGTTTGTTTTGGGAAGAGGTTGTGGGTTTGTGTGGGGCTTGGGGAGACTTGATCACCACATACAAGTTTCTCAAAGGAAATGATAGGGTAGGCAAAGACAGTTTAACACAAGGGGTACACTCACTAGGAGGGACACAGGTGGAAATTGAGTGCCCCCAATGAGCTATATGTAGAGAATAAAGAGATGCTTCCATGCTTGGGTCACGTTATGTTACAAGAATAACGTGGTTACTCTTGTATTATTATAGTATTGTATATGTATTTTTATAGTTAGAATAATACAAGATATTATTTGTACATAACCAAACATGGAAGCATCTCAAGATGCACTGTTCAAGCAAGAACAAATACAACAAATTAAAGTAAAAGGCTGTCTTCAATATTAATATAAACCATCAAATCAATATTAGTGTGTATGTGTACTCACCTAGGTGTATTCACCTAATTGTGCTTGTGGGGGTTGAGCTCTGGCTCTTTGGTCCTTCCTCTCAACTGTCAATCAACTGGTGTACAGGTTCCTGAGCCTACTGGGCTCTATCAAATCTACATTAGAAACTATGTATGGAGTCTGCCTCCACCACATCACTACTTAATGCATTCCATTTGTGTCAGAGTAGTTAACAAATAGAATGCATTAAGTAGTAATGTGGTGGAGGCTGACTCCATACACATTTTCAAATGTAGATATGATAGAGCCCAGTAGGCTCAGGAACCTGTACACCAGTTGATCCCTTAAACCGCGCATACTGGGGTCCCGGAAGCGAAACATATTCGAATTATGTAAAAATAACTTAAAAATGTTAAATACATCTCCAACTTATTTGCTTCAGTATCATGAAACTTTCATCAAAATATTTTCAGAAATTGATTTTAGACGAATTTAAAAAAAATAAGGATGTTTTGTTGATAAGGAGAAGAGCTCTTATTAACTGGAAGTGAAGGATAATGCAGTAATACAGAGATGGACGCTCCTGTCCAACGCTTAAAGAAGAAGTATAGTAGTAAGAAGTGTCCAGCAAGCAGCACTGCAGCTGGTGCCTTTATATCACTGCTGAGTAATACATAATAACACATATAATATATGCCTATCTCACAAATAATAATGAGTAACTATGTTATTATGATCTATTTTGTTATATATCACATTAATACATTGTCCAATGTTAATATATGTTACTTTCATCAATGTCTTCTCCCCCTCCAATTTTTTTTTAGGGAAATTTTTTTGTTAAGATTTTAGTTTTTCCTCCTTTGCTTATTATGTGATTATGTTGTAACCTTTACATCCTGGAGAGTGCATGATTATGTTGTAACCTTTACAACCTGGAGAGTGCATGATTATGCTGTAACCTTTACATCCTGGAGAGTGCATGATTATGTTGTAACCTTTACATCCTGGAGAGTGCATGATTATGCTGTAACCTTTACATCCTGGAGAGTGCATGATTATGTTGTAACCTTTACATCCTGGAGAGTGCATGATTATGTCGTAACCTTTACATCCTGGAGAGTGCATGATTATGTTGTAACCTTTACAACCTGGAGAGTGCATGATTATGTTGTAACCTTTACAACCTGGAGAGTGCATGATTATGTCGTAACCTTTACATCCTGGAGAGTGCATGATTATGCTGTAACCTTTACATCCTGGAGAGTGCATGATTATGTTGTAACCTTTACATCCTGGAGAGTGCATGATTATGTCGTAACCTTTACATCCTGGAGAGTGCATGATTATGCTGTAACCTTTACATCCTGGAGAGTGCATGATTATGCTGTAACCTTTACATCCTGGAGAGTGCATGTGTTTCCCCAACTATGAATTAAAAGTGGAATAAATAGAATAAATAGAATAAAATTGGTAAAAAAAATAAATCAGTCACAACTCGCAAAACTTGGGACTTTTAATTTTTTTGTTGGCTGATTTTTTTTTCTCTGATGTTAAACTCTATTTTCTTTGTCTGTTTAGGTTGTCTTGACGATAGGGACCATATTAGGACGTTTTCACTTATGTAAAGTATACCCTAAATATATTCCCTAAATCATT